ACATAACTCAAAAAGTTATGGACCGATTTTGATGAAATTTTCAGGATTTGTTGGAAATGTGAAAAGGAAGAACTGATTTCATTTTGGGGGTGATCCGGAAGAAATCCTGGATTCTGGATCACTTTGAAATTTTAGTTAACATTGTGGTAAATGGGGCCAAAAATTTTGTTTCTCAATATCTCGGTTAATTATTGACCAAACCCCATGAAATTTGACTCAGGGATGGACAATGGGATCCTCTTTCATATTCCAAAGGCTGATCTGGATCTGTTCCAGAAGACTGATTTTATCGCAATTTATATAAAAAATTGGGGTAGTCCTTGGCGGAGGTCTGCGCTCTCTGAGTGCTTTTCTAGTATTTAGGCTGAGTTTTTCTCTCAAATTGAAAACACTTGGATGTCATGTGGTGATACAGGAAGTGCTCCGCTGTGTTTTTAAACTCTGCTTACAGTCACTAGAATCATTGGGATCATTTCAGTCCTGGAATTGCCAATCTCTGTTGAACTAAAGGTAAAAGGAGCTGTTCACTTGAAAACTACAGGTTCTAGGGATGTAACAATAACCGAAATATTGTGATATCGTATCGTCAAAGTTCTCACAATAATATCGTGGACCATCACAATATATCGAATTACAAGTCTCTTTGCTTAAATTAAGAGTTATGGTGCAGCAATAGCTAAAAGAAGACAGAGGGAACTACATAGACCATGATCCTTTGCTCCATTTCAGTGTAAACATAACAAGAAATAACAATTCTAAGCACTTTTAAGTTCTTTGGATTAAGTCTTGTCAAGGCATTTTAAGAGGAAAAAGTAGAATATTCAGTTTTGTTTGCCTCCACAAAATATCACAATAAATATCGTACCGTGACATGTATATCGTGAAAATATCGTACAGAGAGATTTGGATATTGTTACATCCCTAATCGTGAGCTTTCCCACGATATCGCAATAAATATCGTACCGTGAGGTTCATACTGTGACGACATCGTATCGTGAGACTTGGATATCATTACACACCTAACAGGTTCTTGACATCACAAGGTGGAACAGAGCATTTTGAGCTTTGAAGGCGTAGGCAGACTAATAATAAAGCATTACTCAAACATGTGAATGAAACAAAACATAACTTTGGGTATGTTTTTGATAAGATAACAACAAGGATGGTTTAAATAGGGCCTGGAAGAGATCTCTAGATTACTCAGACACGCATGGGTGATCTAAAACTTCTTCAGCCATGTTTTTGATGAGGGAACAACATTATAACTAGAGCCCGACCGATATATCGGTTGGCCGATATTATCGGCTGATATGGGCAACTTTAGGCATATCAGCTATCGGCCAATATGCTTCCTGATAGGGGCCGATATTTCACGTGGGCATGTTATACCTCGTTATAAAGCTTAGACTCTCTACATTCTGTTCATTTAATCCAATTTACAGACAGATAAATGTCCTAATATGTGGCTCCACATCAGTATTTATCTACGGAGTCATTTGTGTGTGTGTGTCCGTACTGTCCCTGAACACACCACAGAGTCGCGTCACTCACGTGTGTTTGTTTACACCTGCAGACACAGATCAAAACACTGAGATTATATTCTTTTTACGGACAATCGGTTTGAGTCTGGATTAAAAGGACATTTATTAGTGCAGATTTGTGATGTGAGGAGGAGCCTGTATGAGCGGTGAGTGTTGGAAATATGTCGACTCTGAAGCTAGTTTTTGTCATTTGTTATGGGTTAGCTGCTGTAGCTCCCGCACATAAACAGACTGTTTTCTATTGGTCTGTTCTAAAGTGACTATATTTGCTACTGGACCTGCACTGATATGTAAATGAGCTGTGAACAGACGTGTGAATTATGACATTTGCGCATATAATTAATTACCGCGGCGCGCACGTATTTACGGCTAAAGGCTAATAGCGCTACTTTCTTTACTAGTTATGGGTCCGTCGCGAACGAAATGACTCTTAGAACCGGCTCTTTGAAGGGAACGACGGGAGCCTGATCCTTATTGGGAGCCGTGTTTTCTCTTTCTCTCACTTTTTTTCTCTTCACGCCGCGTGCAGACTCGTGGTTTGACAGCGGCAGCGGCTAAAAACGAAACTTTGAGAAATTTGCGTGTACGTAGGATTAAAGAAAATAAAAATAAAAAAACGAGCATATTTGACTGTAGTTTAGCATAAAATAAATAAGTCCCGGTTTAGTCCTTTTTCAGTCCTGGTTTAGACCTGGTTCAGTCCTGATTCAGTCCTGCTTTAGACGTGCTTTAGACCTGCTTGCAACAAAACAATCTGAAGAGCCACTTGGGAGCCAAAAGAACCAGCAGCTTTTAGTGAGCCGAGCCAAAAGAGCCGGTTCTCTAAAAAGAACTGGAATACCCATCACTAGTGTCTAGAATGTGATGCAAAAATGCCATTAAGTCAACCTACTGTCTGTAAATATGATGTAAAGAGGCAGAATAACAATAAATGTTGCCTAAATAAACCCAATTTAAAATCCACCAGAGCCAAACCTAAGTTTTTTAAACAATTCAACATTTACAATGAATTTTTACATCACTAAATATATCGGTGATTATATCGGCAGCTCCAACTTCCATTATATTGGTTTCATATCGGCCACAGCAAAATCCATATCGGTCGGGCTCTAATTATAACATGGTAGAAAGCCCCAAAAAGTTTATTTTTGGACTAGTAAATAAAAAAGCACCTCTGATCACCAGCAGAAATAGTCACACTAACACATCTATACGAAAGTACCTTGCCCAAAGACACAACAACAATTGCATATACACACTTTACCAGAATATGGGACCAAATACTGATCTAAACAAGGACCAGAACAGAATCAAAAAAGACTACATCAGGTCTCAACTGGAATCAAACTAGGCCAAGCGTGAAGCCACACTAACCATGGCTAAATCTGAACTATGTGGTGCACTATGTAACTTTTCTGGTGGGGTTAGTCACCTGCTTGTTTCTACAGAGATGTTATAGTTTTACGTGTAATGTTTCAGACTATGGCATTAAAGTTATCTCCATGGAAACAACCGGGTTAGGTCATTAAGCAAAGCGCAGTCAAATCTGTGGAAAGGTCAGTAAGAGGAATACATGTTTTTAGAGCAGTAGTGGAGTTAGTAATTTGGCGGCCCAAGGGAAATTTGAGTTTGGGGCCCTCACTAAAATGCATTGTTTTTTTTGGTTTTTTTTGTATACATTTTTAAAAACATTTATTGCCCTCTTGTTCATGAGACACGCACATCTTGCCTTGGGTTTGTACCTTGCCCACTTTTACATTTTCAAGTAAGGGTAACTTTCTGTTTAAAGACTACTGTTTTAACCCCCGTTGAGCACCTGTACTGCTATTTTTTACTCTTTTATGACCTAGTGAAGCGCTCTATCTCTTTTTCTTCATCTGACACGCACATCTTTATTTGAATTATGGTGGATTGGAAACTTGTCTTATTAGTTTGGTCGCCTACTAGATAACCAGAACTGAAAATAGTTTTATTTTTTTGCTAGTACAACTGCATTTTTGTTTACATCCATTATATATGATTCTATTTATACTATGATTATGTTAAAATCAGGGTCCATTCTAACGTGAAAGGGGATAAGCTTTGACAGTTAAAATAGATTTCACAATCAGATACTATTTTGATGCTACTCTCATTTAATGTCATACTGAGGAAAAAAATCTAATTGCACTGGGGAGAATTGTTTGGGGGCCCCTCCAGGTTCGGGGGGCCCTAGACAGCCGCCTACTGTTGCCTAATGGTAGCACCGCCTCTGTTTTAGAAGTATTTTGAGCACTTGCATTTGAATAAATACAATACACAAGGTTAAAGAGCTCATATTATGCTTATTTTCTGATCTATTTCCTCATCACAAACAGACCCGGCGTTGTGTTTTGTCCCATTCACACATGTTCAACACACAAACCCTTAATATTTAGAGTTTTTCTCAAACTGAAAACACTTAGTTCCACCTTGTGATGTCATGTGGTAATACACGACATGCTCCACTGTGTTTTTAAACTCTACACACCTTCACTAGAATCATTCGGATAATTTCAGCCCTAGAATTGCCAATCTCAACTGAACTATAAAGGTAAACGGAGGTGTTATCTTGAAAACTACAGGTGCTAGGGATGTAACAATAACCGAAATATCGTGATATTGTATCGTCAAATTTCTCACAGTAATATCATGGACCATCACAATATATCGAATTACAAGTCTCTTTGCTTAAATTAAGAGTTATGGCGCATCAATAGCTAAAAAAGACAAAGTGAACTACATAGACCATGATCCTTTGCTCCATTTCAGTGTAGACTACAAGAAGAAATAACAGTTTTAAGCACTTTTAAGTCTTAGTTCTTTGGATTAAGTCTTCTCAAGGCATTTTAAGAGGAAAAAGTAGCATATTCACAGTTTTTTGCCTCCACAAAATATTGCAATTAATATCACACCGTGAGATGAATATTGTTATGTATGTTATGAAACTTCATGACATCACAAGGTGGAACAGTGCATTCTGAGCTTTTGGATATGTAAACAGACTAATAATGATGGACATTTACAAACGTGTGAAACAAAACACAACCGGGTGTGTTTTTGATAAGGGAAGCTCACAAGAGTCAACAAAATATACGACTTTGATGCGGTATTCCAGGTAAATCATTGACATATCGATAGAGACAAACTTTCGGCGTATCCCACGGTAAAAAAAAGTTCCACAGTGCACCTTTTTAATTCAAGATATCCACTGTAGTTTCACGATGACAAGCTTTCACACGTCTACCACAACCGCATCGAAGGCGCCACAGCCAACTTCCCCAAACTATGTGCGTAAAGTCACGATTGCAATTTTAGAAATGAGGCAAGACCAGAGCGCTGCGGCTGTGCGAGTAACACCACGTGTGTTACGATGCAAACCGGGCACCAGCGACTCCTAAAAGTCTACAGAAACACGACAAAGCACCAACAAAATCCTACCTTTGTCTGGGCTCCGAGGACGACACCGAGTTGCAACTGTGGACCGAGAGAAGCGTGGACGACTTGCGCGGTCCGAGAGGCGAAGGCAGCAGACTGGCGTTGGAGGGGGACGGGGACAGCGGGGACAGGAGGTTAGTGTCCCCGGGCGAAGGGAAGGATCCTCGGCGACGGCCCAGCAGCACCTCGGCATCGCTCAGACCCGCTGTGTCCGACGGTAGGACCAGGATAGGCGGCACGGTGAGAACTCTGGGCACGTCCGAACTCGCCGTATTGTGCGTAAAAGTCCCGTAGCTCGTGTTATTGTTGTTCGCGGCGGCATCCGGGCTCACGCTGACGCCGGGGACGTCGCTGTCTATCCGGGGAGGGTTACTCTGCACGGGCCGTCCATCCAGCGAGATATTGCTGAGGAAGAGAAGAGCCGCTTGCCTGCGCTTGGAGCTCTCCCGGTTCCTTCGGCTCTGCTCCCGGGAACAAAGCGCTTTCTTGGTGCACACGGGGGCCGGCTGCTCGCAGGTCGCCGCCGCAGCCATGGCTCTGTCCCCCCCCGGTCGCAGAGAGGGAGTAAAGCTGGTGGACGATGAGAGCAGCTCCGGGACCAGACGGACCAGCCGCTGTCAAATCCCTTTTACCCGGCGAGAGAGCGCGCTACACCCCGCCGCCGTGTGATTGGTGCGGAGCGGGTTACGTCGGGACGCAGAGGCTCCTTCGTACACGCCCACTGTGAGAATGTAAATAAGAGCCCAAACTGCAGCGATAAAACAGGCTTTACTCAGCAAATAAAACGACAAGAAACATGACCTAATTTTGAATCAGCTGGAATCACATGGACAGAACATTTTATTACTGTCATGTTATAATGTTGTTTCCTCGTTACAAACATACATAGAGTTAACGCTCTGCAATTAATCGAATTTTGATCGGGATTTGTGATTTGATTTGTGTGTCAAACGATCTCCAAACTCAAATAACCGAATTGAAACGATTTAGCTTAACAAGTTTATTTTGGGATTTTTTTTTTTTTTTAATAAATAAGTATATTTATTTTCTTAATATAGAAATTGTTGAACAGCAGGATATATTATTATTATTATTATTATTATTATTATTATTATTATTATCAACAGCAATAATAATAATAATAATAATAATAATAATAATAATAATAATAATAAGTATATTTATTTTCTTAATATAGAAATTGTAGAACAGCAGGATATATTATTATTATTATTATTATTATTATTATTATTATTAGCATCAATAGCAGCAATAATAATAATAATAATGATAATAATGCACCAGTTTTATATAGCGGGTTTCTATACCCTGTGATACTGACAGAAGCAAGGCTGCCAATCTGCACCATCAGCCCTTCTGACCACCACCATCACTCACTCTTACACACACACCACTTTCATACTACACAGTGGGGGTGAAGTGTCTTGCCTAAGGACACAACAACAGTTTTTGTGACTGGCGCCCCCCTGTGGCACCTGATTCTCCCAGTGGTCTCCCATCCAAGTACCAACCAGGCTCAGACTTGCTTAGCTTCTGAGATATGACAGGACAACCAGCATGGCCGCATATAGTTTATTTTGGATACATTGATGTTTTTCTATGCCTTATTTCATGTCTGCAGGTGGGTGGAGAGTCCTTGCCTCAAGTGGAGGAGTTCAAGTATCTCGGGGATTTGTTCACGAGTGAGGGGAGGATGGAGTGTGAGATTGACAGGCGGATTGGTGCAGCGGCGGCAGTGATGTGGTTGCTGTGAAGAGGGAGCTGAGTTGAAAGGCAAAGCTCTAGATTTATCGGGCAATCTATGTAATGATAATGATCAAAAGGACGAGATCGTGGATACAAGTGGCCAAAATGAGTTTCCTTCGCAGGGTGGCTGGGCGCTCCCTTAGAGACAGGGTGAGGAGCTCAGTCACACGGGATGAGCTCGGAGTAGAACCGCTGCTCCTCCACGCAGAGAGGAGCCAGTTGAGGTGGCTCGGGTATCTGTTAAGGATGCCTCCTGAGCGCCTCCCTCTGGAGGTGTTCTGGGCATGTCCCACCGGGAGAAGGCCCCAGGGAAGACCCAGGACATGCTGGAGGGTCTATGTCTCTCAGCTGACCTGGGAACGCCTTAGGGTCCCCCTGGAGGAGCTGGAGGACGTGTGCGTGGAAAGGGAAGTCTGGGAGGCCCTGCTTAGACTGCTGCCTCCGCGACCTGGCCCTGGATAAAGTGGAAGAAAATGGATGGATGGAATTATTTTATGTTCGAAGTATATTTTATTAATTTTTTGTTTTACACTGTACATCACAAAACTGCATATTTGTAGAGTATATTTATTTTCAATTTGAAAGTTTTGCGTAAATGATCAATAACATAGTGTTTTTTTGAGAGAGAAATGCTAAATAAATGCATTGTGTAACAAAAAAATAATCATTTGTGTAATCATGATTTCACTATTGACCAAAATAATCGTGATAATGATTTTTTTCCATAATCGAGCAGCCCTACCTGGAGTTGTGTTTTGTTTCATTCACACATGTCTGAGTAATCTAGTCTGTACATCTCCAAAGCTCAGAATGCTCCGTTCAATCTTACAATGTCATGTAGTGGTAGTTTTCAAGTTAGCCGCTCCTTTTAACTTTTGTTTTGTAGAAATTTGGAATTCTCAGGTCTGAAATCATCCAAATGATTCTAGTGAAGGTTTCTGGAGTTTAAAATCACAGTTGAGAACTTCCTGTATTACCACACGACATCACAACATGGAACAAAGTATTTTCCATTTGAGAGAAGAACTCAGCCTAAATATGCAAATTTTGTGTGTTAAACGTGTGTGTGAATGAAACAAAACACAACTCCAGGTTTGTTTGTGACAAGGAAACATTAAAACGTAAATCAGAAAATAGTGTAATATGGACCCTTTAATGACGCACTGTGTAACTTCCCTTAGGGAATTTTTCTTCTCCTCGTCTCCATGAGAGGGATGTTTCACAATATGGCATTAAAGCTTTATATTTTTAAATATTATTATTTATTATTATTTTTTGTATGTATGCATTTATTTATTAGTATTATTTATTTATTACTGTATTTATTTACACATCTTATTATTGTAAAAATCCCTTATGCATTCTTACAGTGAACGGGATCGCCTCTCCACAAATCTGACACGTCTGAAAATGAGATGACTGATAAATACTTTCAATGCAATACTGTGAAACTATCCAGGCAAAACTGTAACATCTCCATGGAGACAAGCAGGTGACAAAGCATTATCGATAAACGTTACACAGTGCAGCTTTAAAATGTTACAGTGCTAATTTATGGCTTGCTCTTATTACTGCTTTGCTATTATTACATATGTACATGTCTGTGTCCTTTCTGACCCACAGTGGCATGAGCTGTCCCTCCCCGCCGGATTACCTCACCGTGATTGGCTGTCTCTCTCCCAGGCGCCTCCTCTGATTGGCTGCTGATCCTTTGTTATGAAACCTGACGAGTGGATTTTCTCGCCCGTGATCCCTCGGAGAGTGCCACTAACCCGAATGGATCAGACCACCACACGCCAGCCCCAGTAAAGAGGCTAAATATACCCCATAGGACATGCAGGGTAATCTCCAACTGCACCGCTCGTGGTCATGACACTGATGCACTGAGCTGCTAATGAGCCAGGCGATGGGAAAGTGTGGCAGGGCGCTGAGGCGAGGCTAATGGAGCGGGAATGACTCTTATGGGTTTAAGTAGAGCTATTCGTCATTGTCAATTGGAAGTTTGTAAAAAAAATAAAAAAAAAATACAGGAAGTAGATTGAGGTTTTTGCAAATGATACAAGAACAGAATACAAAAACAAAACAGATGATACACTGCAGTACATCACAAAGTACAAAGTGACACATTGTTGGAGTTGTCCTAATAAGTGAAAAATTCCTCAGTCATCCAGGTAGAATCCATGGCAAAAATTTAGTTTGGTCGACGTTTTGCAGCTCATCCAAGCTGCTTCCTCAGTTCTGGTCAGACGCTGGTGGACAATTCCTTATATCTGTCTGCAGGGAGGAACTAACTAACTATCAACACAGACGAGAGAGCAGCAGTGGACCTCAGTCTGCTGTACATCTCCACTTAAAAAACACGTGCCACTCTTTTGAGGACAGTGAGGTACGGATCTTAGCCAAAGAAAAGAATTGGTTTGAGAGGGGAGTTAAAGAAGCCATTTTTGTTAAGAAAGAGAATCCTTCTCTAAACAGAAATGGAGGACTCAGACACTGTCTAACTCCTATTTACAGCTCCATCCTCAAACCTAGATCTGAACAAACAAGAGAACAATAGGTGTAGCCAGGTCAGGTCCAGAGATGTGAAAGCTCCCATTATGGCCTGAATGGTTCTACTAATAAGACCCCACACTCAGTACAGCTCAATAGGCCTAACTAACTAAAAAAAACTGTAAACAAGTAGGCGTGCTAGTTTCAGAGTAGTTGGTTAGCTCCTCCCTGCAGACAGAAATAAGGAAGTGTCCACCAGCATTCTGACCAGAACTGAAGAAGCAGGTTGGATGAGCTGCGAAACGTATTTGACCAAACAAAATTTTTGTCCAGTCGACAAACTGATCTCTCTCCTTTGCCTTGTCCCAATGAGGTTCATTTGGTCTTCCGATAGTTTATGTTATTAGGTTCTTTTTTCAGACCAAGAGTTTGTTTTCATACTGACAGTTTCGACTGCTCCCTGCGGTCTTCCTCAGAGTCACGTGATGTTGCTGTGACGTGTCCGCTCAGCTGATTTAAACAGGTTTTGGCGCTGTCTTCTGACCGGTGGAGGCAGGACGACAGCGCCATCTGCAGTCCGACTTCCTCAGGACAGTATCCCAGGTGTGTGAGAGTAAAAAAGCCCCCTCGTCCCAGTTTATAGTCCAACGGTCATGTTTCCTTATTTCGATTGCCTCTTTAATCCAGCGTCGATGTTTGTTTTCCTGTGTCCCAGTGATATTTGCTCTGTCCCAGTCCATAATGTGCTTCTCTCTTTTACAGTGCCCAGAAATGGACGATTTGTGTTGTTCATGTTCTACTTTGTGTTTTGTTGCTCGTGTTTCGCCTTCGCTGTTTCCTTCTCGCATTCTGTCCTATTTTCTTTTTTTCGTGTACTGAACGCCCTCCCTGTTTCCTCCGTGTGTGTTTTATTACAGGACATGCAGGGTATTTCATATATGACATTACATTTATATGAGGAGTTGTTTAGACCTGAGTTATAAAGGGAATCCCTCCATCTGTATCATCTATATATTCTTTGGAATGTTCAGAATGACATCTACTATTTTTATACAGAGGGATAACAGTCTAGTCACCACCAGGGATGCTCCGATCCTTCTTTTTCTGTTCCAGTACTTTGGCTTTAAGTATCTGTCAGTACCTGATATTAACCGATACCAGGGCAGAGACTGAAAATATTTATTTCCTTTAAACACAAGCATGGTAAAAAAAATTATCCAAATGTGTATTGTAAGAGCCCACATTACATTATTTTCTGATCTATGTATGAGGAGATTCACTGGTGACCAAATGTACATCTTCGTAAAGTTTTGGAGAAGTGTGTAACTCTGGATCCCACTCGAGGAATTATATGCAATGCCTGTTATAAATAATGCACAATGAT